AAAAAAAAGTTATAGAAGGTCTGGGAGGAGCTTCACAGGTCTGACTGCTGGAGTGTGAAGACTTCTCATATGGCATTTAAGTCCTTTACCATCTGGCCCTAACCTAGTCCTTTTCCAGCCTCATTTCTCGCCAGGTTCCACCTTCCCTGTGCATTTTACAGCCCAGCCCCACCCAGATCCTTACTATTCCCTGAACTCTTCCTTTACTCCCCTGCTCACAGGCATCCTTCTGCCCTTCTGGGAGTCAGAAATGTCTTTCTCCCTCTGCTGAACTGTTTATTCTATGATGACCAATTCCATTTCCTCTAAGAAACTTACCATAATTGTTCCAACCTCTCCTAAATATTCAACCAAATTGTTCCTCCAGCGCATTGTCATCTGAACCCATTTAGACTTTGTAAATACCACCTGTTGCCTCTAGATTTGTAGTGTGGATGCCCATGTGCATGCTTCTCTTTACCAGTAGCTTAAAAGCTTCTTATGAACAAGATCAAGCTTCGTTCATCTTCACATCTCCACCACCTATCGCTCTTATTTCATTAGTAGATAATGTCGATACTTTAGCCTTGAGCCTAGGAACAAACATGTTTTGGTATTTCTGGAGGAAACTACTTGGGCCATATCTCACAGGATGGTTGTGAAAATTAAATGAGATAATATACATAAGTTATGTTGTACCTTATGTCTTAGCTCTGGCTTTATAACCAGCCACTTTGAGCTATAATGCTGAAATTTTTTAGTTTAGATTTTTGTTATGCTTAAGTATACTCATGGATCATTCCTTTTTCTAGGTTCGTTTTAAAAATTTAGCATCCAGACCATATTCTCTACATGCCCATGGACTTTCCTATGAAAAATCATCAGAGGGAAAGACTTATGAAGATGACTCTCCTGCATGGTTTCAGGACGATAATGCTGTTCAGCCAAACAGCAGTTATACCTACGTATGGCATGCCACTGAGCGATCGGGGCCAGAAAGTCCTGGCTCTGCCTGTCGGGCTTGGACCTACTACTCAGCCGTGAACCCAGTAGGTACTTTCATTGAAAGTTTTTCTCATCCCCCTAATATCGTAATCTGAGTCCACCAAATAGAAGAGTCAGGGTTATTTCTTGCTAAATGTCTGTCTTGCTTTTCATGAGGAATGTATAAGGGTATGGTTAACAGTCTACATTTATCATAACCAGGAACTCTCCCTGTAGCTCTTCGATGACAGAGAGGGAAACATTTATTCAGTGGACAGGAGGGAGGATTACTTGAATGATTGGCCATGAATCAGAGTGCCTACATTTACAGAAGATGGCATCCATTTGAAATTTTCTTGAACAAGTTTTTGCATTTCTTTTCATAAATAAAGAACAGAAGATAGCTATGTCAAGACTCCTTCATCTATCATTCTGCAGTGTATATACACTTCAAAACAATATGTTGTATATAGTATATACCTGCATCAAAAAGAAAAATGACTCCTTCATTTCAGGCATAGTGGAAAGAACACAGACTCAGATTTAAATTTTTACCCTGTCACTTAATGTGTAATCCTAGGAAATTCCTTGACCTGTCTTAGCCTGGTATCAGAAGTTAAAAATGAGGTAACAGTATATAGTATATGGTAAGCACTTGGTAAGTATTTGTTCAATGAATGAATTTATATTTACCATATAAGATAATTGTCAGGATTAAATGAGAGATTGCAGGCAAATCATTTAACATAATAGTAGATTCCCAATAAATAGTATCCCTTATATTATCAATATTATTATTATCATCATTATTACTGGAATAAGGATCTATCAGAGGAAGGAGGATTATGGATACAACAGAATTTAGGTGATAAATATCCAGGCTTATTAAGCCATTCATTTATAATCTTCATCTTCAAATTTAGAGCCTATCAGAAACTGTCGTTTTCTATATGATCAGTGATTACCAGAAAAGCAAAGAAATTCCTGAGAAAGGGACAATACAAACAATTTACTCTGTTTTCTAGGAAAAAGATATTCACTCGGGCTTAATAGGTCCCCTCCTAATCTGCCAAAAAGGAATACTTCATAAGGAGAGCAACATGCCTGTGGACATGAGAGAATTTGTCTTACTGTTTATGATCTTTGATGAAAAGAAGAGCTGGTACTATGAAAAGAAGTCCAGAATGTCTTGGAGACTCACAGCCACAGAAGTGAAAAACTCCCATGAGTTTCCTGGTATTTTACTCTGACTAATTAAATTACACTGGTCACAGTGATTCCTGCCCTTAGATCTTCACAAGATATAGACATGAGATGCTTCTGAGACACCCGGTGCTACAACTAAAACTGGTTCCTTCACATCCCAGAGGGCTGACGTAATCTGGCAGGTGACATTGTGGGTGAGGCGAAAAGAGAAAGTCTGAAAGATAGCACAGAGAAGCTGCTGTAAAACAACAGCAGAAAACAACAACAATAAAAAGCCAACGTGCTTCAGTGGGTAACATATATTGAAAAGGAATTAACATTGTTCTGCAATTTAGCAAGTTAATAAGCTGGTTTCTGGATCTCTAAAGGCACAAGTGTTTATATAAAAGAAAAGACCAAGAATGGTTCTAATAGTTTTAACTCTCAGCAGCTACCAGGTGAGACAGGAAACTAGGTACCCAAGTAATAGGAGAATAGTGGCAAGAGAACATTTGAGTGGTCACACTGGGAAACGTGTGCCTACTTGGAAATTCACTCAGAAATTTGCCCTGTAAGCTAGCAACTGAAACAGAAACTGAGATGAGAAAGGTATGAGCTTCTGTTATGAGTATGTAGATAGGTGTTCTCATACCTGATATAATTTTAAGGGTGCCCAAATGACCTCAACCTCTCCCTCTCCAAAAAATCATTTGCCTGGTTTCTGAAATTTCACAGCAGTTCCTTTAATTTAAGAAGGAAGCAAAGCACTTCCCTTACTTCGGTTCCAGTTAATGTTTGGTTGTACTATACTTTATCTTTAAAATTTTGTGTTACATTTTTGAGGTGATCAGGTTTCTCAGGAATTTTTTAAAAATCCACATATTTTATTACAGGAAGAGTAGATAAAGCCTGAGAACCCTAAACATCTAATCTGAGAAGTGGGCAGAGGAGTTATCATACCAATGAGAGAATAAACATGACTTGCTATGGTTGCTGGGTACACCAACGATAAACTCCTAATTTTATAAACTGAAACTTTCTCTGCATTTAGAAGGCTTTAAGGTGACATGCTGCATATCTCCTTACTGACTCTAACCCCAGGCTTTACTTTTCTGCCCATATTCATGTTTATCTTTTTGTAGTTAAGAAAAATTAAGACTGTTAATGGAAAGAGTAAATGGGTAAAGCACAGAGTGTAAAAGCTGGGGAAAAGAGTAGTAAACTGCTTAGAAAGGGAGCTCCCCCTGACTTCTGCTGTAGGCTGGTGTGAATGATGTGAAGACTGGTGGGTCTGCTTCAGCCTGTCACTGATATGACCTACAGGAGGGCCCTTTCCATGGCTAGGTAGGCCTGGGAATGCAGAATCATGAGGAAGATAGGTGTTGAGTGGGTTGCCTCATATTTCCTTGCCGGTTGCCCTCTCAGTGTCAACAGATTTCTAATTGATTGCAACTCTTTGTCCTTTCAGCCATTAATGGGAGGATCTACAGTTTGCCTGGTCTGAGAATGTATGAGCAAGAGTGGGTGAGGTTACACCTGCTGAACATAGGCGGCTCTCAAGACATTCACGTGGTTCACTTTCATGGCCAGACCTTGCTGGAAAATGGCAATAAACAGCACCAGTTAGGGGTTTGGCCCCTTCTGCCCGGTAATGATTGGGTAATGGAAAGAGGTCCCAGCTAAGAAATACAGGGAAAAGGCAATCATTACCCCTCATTTCCTCCTTGTGCATATACTTCCTAATGGATCAGAACACAGTGATTCTAGCATAGAGCCTAGGCAAAGCCATAGGCCCAAAGTGTATATGGAATACAAAAATGTCACCTAATTTATGAACTATTTGCAGCACCACACAGGCTAATTGTGTGACCCAACTTTGTTCTACAGAGACGCTATATAATATGCAGGTTCTCCCTAGCCACTGTATGTTACACAGAGAAGGTCTCAAACAGATGAAAAAATGAATCCCACAGGGCTCAGGCAGCTATAGTTATTTCTGCTGGGAAGATTTCCAGATTCTTCAGTTCTGCTCCTCCTCTAGGCTCTGTCACCCTAATATCTTTGGGCCAGTGACTCCAGGAATCACATTTTGAAATTGACTTGTAGGCTGCTTATAGAGGAAAATTTTTTTTCAAATGATTATTTATTTATTTATTTATTCCATTTATTTATTTTATTGCATTTTAGGTTTTGGGGTACATGTGAAGAACATGCAAGATTGTTGCATAGGTACACACATGGCAGTGTGATTTGCTGCCTTCCTCCCCATCACCTACATCTGGCATCTCTCCCCTTGCTATCTCTCCCCAACTCCCCACCCCCCACCGTCCCTTAAAGAATAACAAAGTTATTTAGAGCTTCCTTCTATTTTGCCTTCTATTAAAAGTAATGGCAAAAGCTGCAATTACAATTTGCACGAATCTAACACATGCTGCCTGAGGATCTAGTGAAGGCAGTCCCTCAACGGCACTTTGGATGAGGAAGTTCTGTGAATATGCCTCAGATGCAGGCACAGGAGTCCATATGGACTTGTTTGGTTAAGAGCAGGGAAAAAAAAAAGAGGATTCTTCTTGGTTTTTCACATGCCAGTAACTCACTAATACATCTAGAGAGACCTGCTGTATTAATATCAGAGACAGAGGAGATTCAGTCAGATTCATTCATCTTTTCACCAAGTATTAGCAGATCAGTCAGTCATCCTTCCCATGAGCCTGCAGACAGACTGAGAAGCTAGGATTGACTGGCAACTCTAAATCTGCAAACCTGAATACCTGTACTGGAGAGAGGAAAACTGGAGATATTTTTCATTATGTTTGAGGAAGATAACCATATCTATTCATTTTCACCCACAATCTGGGAAACCGTCATAAATTACAGTCAACAGAATTTAAATATTAACTGCCGGGGGTAATATTAAATACCAGGATGGATAGCCAGAGGTTTTAGAAATCTCATTCTCTCAGTGTTTTTTTCTGGGAACAATTTATGTAACTCTCTATTCACATATGTAAGTTTTATGGAAAATTTGAAAACATAGAGGAAGAAGGTTTTATTTTGATTTTCTTATATATAAAATATTAAAAAAGCAAAATGAAGAGAGGGAAACATGTATGATACTTTTAAAATCTCTATTCAAATATGTAAGCTTTGTGGAAAATTTGAAAACATAGAGAAAGAAGGTCTTATTTTGATTTTCTTACATAGAAAAGAGAAAAATACAAAATGAAGAGAGGGAAATGAAACATGTATGATATTTTTGAGGCCCAGTGATATCACTCAAGGTCACTTTGATACATAGGACTGTGAAGCTGTATTGTATGTGAATTAACTTGTAACATTATATTTAGATAAGTGAAAGTTTATTCTAGTGAGGTGTGGTAGAGATTAAAATTTTTTTTAGTTATCTCTGTGTGTTATTATTTTGTTTCTATCTGTTATACTTGTAGTCCTACCTAAAGAAAAACGGTTACATTCTATTTGAAAGTCTCTTGTGAACCAGGAATTTTAGGATTCTTAGATAACTATCAACCTCAATATTATCTTGTTAATTTTTGCGTATGTAATGTTGTTCTTAACTTTTTATTTTAGGTTCATTTAAAACTCTTGAAATGAAGGCATCAAAACCTGGCTGGTGGCTCCTAAACACAGAGGTTGGAGAAAACCAGAGAGCAGGGATGCAGACACCATTTCTTATCATGGACAGAGGTATCAAAAGAGCCATGTGATTTTTTTTATTTTTTATTTTTTATTTTTTTTTTATTTTTATTTTTTTAGCAGGAGAGTACCTATTACTAGAATATTACCAACTTTTAAACTGGAAATATTCAACTCTAAGAACCTGATGTGACAAAGGCATAATTTGTAGCCATAGTTGCTTTTATTCTGGCCCATGGTCTGATTGCATTGAAAACACATCAGTCAGTTCAAAAGCATTCCTCTCAATTGGGAAACATATATAAAGTGTTCTTCATGATTTGTGATCCATGGGAAAGTACATGTAAGAAATTCTCTAAGTTCCAAGAGTTAAGGAGGGAAAAGGTAACAGGAATTTAACAATGACTGAGATAGTCACTAACCTCGGCATTTCAGCATTTAGGAAACACAGTTTTCATCTGTCCATCTATTCATCCATTCTTTAAACCATTACTAAGCACCCACTGAGTACGAAGCATTGTGCCAACATCCAGGTAGCATGGTGGCTGGTATCCCTTCCTTGATATAAATAACGTTGTGACTTTGAGGTCAACTTTTAAGTACATAGTCTCGTGAGGGATAGAACTTTTTTTTTNAGAGAAGAGGTTGCCCAACATGGTCTCAAACTCCTGCCCTCAAGTAATCCTCCCACCTTGGCCTCCCAGAGTACTAGGATTACAGGCATGAGCCACTGCACCTGGCCATGGATAGTACTTAATATTATAAAATAGCATAATCTAAGATAAAAGCAGAAGAAAATGAGTTTAAAAATCAATCAAATTTCAGGATTTCAGTTGTTTTCTTCTAGGATGCCACTGTATCTATTAATGCACCAGTCTTGTTAGTGCATTTACCCTTTTATAATCAGATATATTTAAGTCAGTGCCACACGAGGTAGGTAAAAATATGTAATTACCGACCAGTCAGAAACATAATCTCTAACCATGGAGTTTTACTTTATTATATCTATTTTCTAAGCAAAAAGTATTCATTTTTTTCTGTTTTTCATAGAATGTAAGATGCCAATGGGACTAAGCACTGGTATCATATCTGATTCACAGATCAAGGCTTCAGAGTTCCTGGGTAAGTTGTAGCACCATGGCCTGTGAATGGTACCTCCTACAACTGTGCAGCATGCAGCCTGTGAAACCATACATGACAACCCTATCTACGCATCAGTTCTTCTCCTTATGCTTTTCTCTCCTGCAATATAGTGAAGCAGCTTCATTTGGGGTACTCATCTGGTAGGGGAAGGAACACTATGGCCAGCAGCTAAAGGCCTGTTAGTGAGCTCTTATCACTGCCACCCCTTCTTGTGTATAAGGTTCCCAAAAAGTCTTTTCCAGGAAAAACTGTCAGCTGGAGGTCATTGATTTCTCTACATAAAGAGCCTAGCTTCTCTGAGGGGATTTGGCAAAGATCAGATAGCTTACAGTTTTGACCATGTGCCCATTTCCAAAACTCTCCTCAGTCACCTTTTCTGGTTTTGACCACACATGTATTTCAGCCAGATTAACAGGGTCTTATCAGCCAAATATTACAATCCCCATTAATATGGCCCTTTGCCTGTGGCAACCATTCATATATTCAGAAAACTTTGTTGAACCCCCACTATGTATTAGGAACACCTCCAAAGTTTTCTTGCATTGCCTCAAAGCTCTTCCCAAGATCAAGAAGTCATGACCAAGAGGATGACAAGGCTCCCATATACCCCTTCCATGTCTTCCTGTTAGGCGGGCACATTCAGCATTAGGCACATCAACATAACAGAAAAAAACTAAACATGACCTGTGTGCAAGAAAGGGGATAGGTGGTGGTTGACAGCTGACCAAACACAGACCTGAAGTCCAGATTTCATCATCAAGGACTGGCTTAGTAGCTGAGACCCACGCCTAGACTCCTGACTACAACACAGGCCCTGGTCAGGATCTGGTTTTCCACTGGATTAAACTCGCTCGAGAAATTGCTGAGTTTTTTTAAAAAAATTCAGAATAAATCTTTTTTTTTCACTGAATTTAGGTTACTGGGAGCCCAGATTAGCAAGATTAAACAATGGTGGATCTTATAATGCTTGGAGTATAGAAAAACTTGCAGCAGAATTTGCCTCTAAACCTTGGATCCAGGTTTGTCTTAATAGATGGATAATATTTACCACTGTTGTAATAATAAAAATGAAAGCGATTTAGTAATTCCTTCTTGTTATTGTTCTTGCACTGTTGTTAGAGGAAATAGCAAGTACGAAGTGGCTAGGCACTATTCTAAGTACTTTAGGTTCTTAAAATCAACCGTCTGAGGTTGGTTCTAGTAATATCTTGTTTTAAAGTTAAAAAAAAAAAAAAAAAAAACAAGGCACAGAGATACTAACTACTTTCCCAAAATAACACGTAGGTAATTAGTCATTGAGTTGGGATTCAAATCTAGGTACTCTGTGCCCAAATATGGATTGTGTGTAGTCATTGTATCAGTTTGCTAAGATCTTAGGTGCTGGCTCTTTAGTTCTGAAGAAAGCTGATTGTATTATGAATTTAGGCAGTGTGTGACTTGTTGCCAAGGACAGTTCTGTTTACTGGCTTTCCTATATGGCAGGTGGACATGCAAAAGGAAGTCATAATCACAGGGATCCAGACCCAAGGTGCCAAACACTACCTGAAGTCCTGCTATACCACAGAGTTCTATGTAGCTTACAGTTCTAACCAGATCAACTGGCAGATCTTCAAAGGGAACAGCACAAGGAATGTGATGGTTTGTGTGCATATTTCTATCGGAATCCCTAGATTCAGCCTAGGGTTATTATGACTATGCCTAATGTTTGTATATTTTTAAAAATACCTTCCTGGGTGTTAGAAATGTGAATGGCTTTTTAAGGGTCATATGGAGTAAAGCATTAATATGATGGATCTGTGTCTTATGAATTAGAGAAGCAGGTTTAATGAAACTTCAAAACTCCACAAAACTTTAAAAAATCATTCTATCATCAGACAAAATACCCAGATTTCTCCGACTGGCCAATGGTACATGGCAGAGTAGAACATCTGGTCTTGTGCCTCAAGGAGCTCATGCTAAAAATTGGCTACCAAGACTTTTAATTTTACTATTGCATTTTGTTTTGTTCTTTATTTCAATGTACCTGAAGTAAATAATAGTATTAATGCTAGTAATCCTCTGAGGCAGTGTGATTCTCAGACTTTTTGGGGGGCCATGCCTGAGGAATGATATCCTCTGCTGGATCTTCCAGGGGCTTGGCCAGAAGCCCTAACTCTTCCCCTATTCCCTACTCCCTTCCCCCAAGAAACCTATCTGAATGCAAGGAGCCTGCCTGCCATTATTATACTGATAAACTTGAATCTGTTTCTGCTTATATTTTACATAAATTTTTTACTATTTTACTATATTATTAGTTACCTCTTTTTAATAATTATTAATATGTCTCAGAACAAACCATTGAAATCCTAAATTATGGTTCTTACTAATCAGTATTATGAGAGAAAACACAGATTGCAGTTGAGTCCATAGAATAAAGATTTTTGCATCTATGTTCATGAGAGGATATTGGTATATAGTTTTTTTTTTAATTGTCTTTTTCTGTTTTTGATACCACAGTTATTGGTTAGCATGCTCTTTTCTACATTCTAGAAAAGAATGTCTGCAATTGGCATTAATTATTTAAATACTTGGAAGGAATCACCAGTGAAATCATCTGGGCCTGCAGATTTCTTTTTGGGCAGTTTTTAAATTATAAATTCTATGTTTTAAATAGTTACAGGGCTATTCAAATTATCTGTGTCATACTGGGTGAATTAAAATACTTTGTATACTTCAATTAATTGGTCAATTCCCTCTATGTTGTTAAGTTTATGTGTGTAGAGTTGTTTGTAGTATTCCCTTATTATAGTTTTTCACATCTGTAGTGACTTTGCCTGTTTCATCTCTGATATTGTCATCTGTACCTCTTTTCTTTTTTTGTGAATCTTGCTAGAGATTTGTCAATTTAAAAAAACTTCTCACAGAACCAGCTCTGCTTTTTTGATTTTTCTCTATTTTTATGTTTTTAATATTACTGATACCTGCTCCAATCTTCTGTTTTTGTTTTTGTTTTTTTTTTAATTGGCTTTTCCTGACATTGCTCTTGCAGAAAAAGGCATAGGGCAGAGCCTGGTTACTGCCAGGTGGGGGTCAAAGTCCAGGTTCCCCACTCCGCTGCCACCTAAGAGGGGATTGTTTCTTTGTGGCCCGGTGGAAAGGAGAGTTCCCCATTTGGCCTCCACTGACATTACAGGCCAAACCTGCAAAAACCTGAAGCAGGAGCTTCATTAGGGGCTGGAGATGAAAGTCCTGAATCCCTACATGGCCTTTTCTGACACAACCCCAATGAAGGTGATGGGGTGCCTCCCTCTTTAGCCTCATGAGCAAAGAGGTCTAGGCTCCCCACTCAGCCGTTGCTGTTGTGGGCTGGGGAGAGGCCTCAGGTTTTTCAGTGGTGTTGGCTAAAGCAGATAAGTCAGTGTCCACAAGTTTTCTATTATATCTCACTAGGCTGCCCTTTCCTGGTACTTTGGTTAGAGAAAGCAGACTTTGTTCGGGCTTTTTCAGTCTATGCTCATTGATGTTTCCAGGTTGCTGGCTTCTTCATCTCTAAGTCTGGGATTTATGAGACAAAAAGAAAACTCAGAACACCCATGACCATTTTGTTCCTTCTGAGAACCCTAGCCAGTCTGCCTTCTGAGATCTTTTCAGGGTCTTCTTATGTTTCTCTTAGCTATAATGTCCAGAGTTTTTAGTTGTACTTAGCAGAAGGAATAGGGCAAAGTACATATATACAATCTTCCTGGAAGTGGAGTTATCCTCAAGTATATTTTATGACTAAATTGATTTAGTTCAGGTCCCATGAAAATGTAATATTACAATATTAAATTAGATCAAAATTTTATTATAAAGTCACTTTATAGATAATTACAGATAATTAAAATAACTAAACCCTCCTCTTTCCTCCTAGTATTTCAATGGCAATTCAGATGCTTCTACAATAAAAGAGAATCAGTTTGACCCACCTATTGTGGCTAGATATATTAGGATCTCTCCAACTCAAGCCTATAACAGACCTACCCTTCGACTGGAGCTGCAAGGTTGTGAGGTAAATGGTAAGGTACAAAGATGCATTATTTTCTCACTGCCACTCAAAGAATCAAGATTTGGGTGGTATAGGAGAATGAGTAGAATTTTTAGTTCTCTTTAGTGATTTAGGCTTCTGGGAAAACCTTCGTGAAACAGAGGTTCTACTCAGGTAAACTCTCAGTATGACCTAGACCAAGACTGGTTCTGCCAGTCAGAGGGCAGACAGTATCTCTCTGAAGAAAGTACCTGGATTATATAGACACATCACAATTCTCCAAAGGAAGGGCCCTTGGAGAGGCCCATTTTCAATAAGACCTACCTGAGATTCAAACTAGGCGTGATTCTTCCAAAGTCCTCTAGGTTATTCAGACCTCAACTTCATGACAGTATCTGGCAACATCACTACTATATATTGGTGTTCAATGAGTGTTTTTGAAATCTGAGTTGGCTTCCCAACTTCCTGAAACCATAATTCTTCTTTATATTTTCTTTTGTACCCTGTGTATATACTCAAGTATTTTCTGTTAGCTGCTATTTCTCAGGGGCTGTAATGTGACCTGTGATATAAATAAATCTAGGTAATCATAAATGATCATAATAAAATTCTACTGTGTATAACAAGGATGTTTAAGAGTCTTAACTGTTCTTCTTGGACTCTTAAAATAGTGCTTTCCAATATTTTTTGCTTCAAAGCACACAAAGAAAATAATATCTGCCTGGCATTCTGAGATAAAAGAATGAAGCAATAAATTTAAGGCTTGGCTGATCTAGGCTCCACTTGGCTACTCAAGGGCTGGAGGTGGGAAGAGGAATCAATAAATAGGCACACCAGAAACCTGCTGCAGCACACCTATTGGGAGCTGCAGTACTTCCCTTGGGGTGGAGAGAAGAAGCCATGACTCACGTTGGAGAAAGTAGTTGAACCCTGGAATCAGTTTCTTATTGAAGCAGATAATATACCCTTGGATGAATATGGGTATTTTGCCAATGTCCAGATAGTAGTAGTCTATAACATCTCCCAAATAAAACACAAATCTCATATTGGCAGGACTACTCCTTGAAACAGTTCCATAAGTTGTTGTGATTTTTTCTTTCCATGTGGTATAAAAGGTAGATTTGTTCAGATCCTAATAAACTACCCTAAAATGTGACATTCAACTCTGTTTATTTAAAACGTCAATTTTTTTTATACAAGAAGCATTAGTTTCTTCTTATTCATTTTCTTTATACTTAGGTAATTATTAGCAGTGGGTGTTATTTTTAGGGCTCTTTTTTTCATGGAAAAAATAAGGCATCACTTCAAGAATATTTCTGCATGATTTACTAGCAAGAACAAAGTGTCACAGAGATAATAGGCAGTCAGCCAGGTTCACTCACTAGCTGTATTTCTTACAGTCACAGGTCTACCTTGCTGCCTATGATATTCAAATTATACCTTGGAAAAATTCCAAAGGGTATGTAACTTGAATTCCCCTCTAAGGATTGAAACAGAAAATATGAAATAGTGACTGAGTGTCTTCTTTGTAGATTTTATTAGAAGAAACAGAGCATTTTTTTTATATGTGGATAGTTTAGGATTATTGGCACCTCAAAGCAAAGACCAAAGTTTCCATGACTCAAAAGGAGGAAGTGGCTTTAAATGTTTAGAACATGGTATTTGGTATCAGATTGTCCGAGCTCAAATCAGTTTCTGATTCTTCTGGCTGTGTTACCTTAGACAAGTTCCTGTGTTATGCTGTACTAAAGTGGAGATATTTATGAGCATTAAATAATACATGTAAAGCCTGAGAACAGTATTTGGCACTTAGATTCAATAAATCTTCACTGTTGTGATTATTGTTTTTGTCATTACTTGTTAGTCATATTATTTCTTATCTCCTCTGCAGTGCAAAATGTCATGCAGGAAATATTGGTGTGTAATTAATCACATTACTCTTCTTTTGATAGGATGTTCCACACCACTGGGTATGGAAAGTGGAAAGATAGAAAACAAGCAAATCATGGCTTCTTCGTTTAAAAAATCTTGGTGGGGAGATTACTGGGAACCCTTCCGTGCCCGTCTTAATGCTCAGGGACGTGTGAATGCCTGGCAAGCGAAGGTGAAGTATACTCTATACATGGTGTTCTCTTAGCACTCGAGAAGAAAACAAAGGCCATCACTATAGCGAACATGGGGGATCTGGGAAGCAGGAGTATTTTAATGTTTATACAGATTAAAATTCTAGGTCCAAGAGTCTAGGTTGTCTGTGGACTTGATGGCTTTGACTATAACTTTGGCTCAGAGAGAAGTCATTTATCATCTCTGTGGTTTTTAGTCTAGTCTTGATTTGAACCAAGAATGAGCAATTTTTTTTTTTTTTTTGCAATGGGACAGATAGTAAATATTTTAGTCTCTGTGGGCCATACATTCTCTGCCATAACTACTCAACTCTGTTATTATAGCAGGAAAGTAGCCATAAACAAGATGTAAATGAATGAACTGGCTGTGTTCCAATAAAATTTTGTTTACAAAAAATAGGTAGTGGGCCAGATTTGACCCATAGACCATAGTTTGCAAACTCCTCATTTAGACAGCTTACATTAGTGATAAACAAATGATTTAGATTTGCAACATCATCTCTTATTTTTTCTTTACAAGTTATCAATATTTCATTTTAAGAAAATGAAAAATATCATTTAAACTTTTTTGTTTTCTTCCCCACCTGCCTTATTTTAAGAGCTTTGTGATATTCCTTGAGACAACTAGAAGCATGGTAAAACATTGCAAAATCAGAGTTATAAAATCAGTGATCTAAGTTAAACAGACACCTTCCAGATAGTTATATTGCCCTTGATATTAGCCCACTGAGTAATTCAGGTGATTTAATTTTGGGGTAACTCTTGATAGTTGACTCATTTCTATTAATTCTTCAAATGACCTGAGATATCAAAATGGCATGGGTAACCTGATGATCCCTTCAGCCAACTAAATCTAAATTCCCTACTTTCTATCCTCATATCTCCTCCCTTAAGATATCTACACTCCAATTCCCTAACTTTCTATAGAATTCCAGCACCTATCCTTAAATTAGGCTACCAGAAAGGAAAAAAAGAATTGTGATGCTAGTGGGGTAAATAGAAAAGATTGGATTTCACACAGTCGTGGGAACTGATACCTGTGTCTTGAAACTCATTCTGGCCCATCACAGAATCACAGAATGTTACAGTAGCAAGAAGCAAAATATCTGGTCTAGGTTTTTCCTTTTAGGTCTAAATACACAGGAGATTAAATAATTTTAGCTCAGTTTGGTAGCAGATCAGGACTAAAATCCCATTCTCCCAGTAAACTGGCCATGCTCCTTCCACCATTTGAAGCAGCCCAAATACCTCATTTTGCAATTTTGCAGAGGGGAAAGCTGATACCCAGAGAAGTTAAAATAATAAAAATAATGTTATATTACATTATATTTGTATAATTTACATAGCAATATAAATAATAGTTAAAGAGTAGTTATTCAATTTTTTCAGATGACTCTTTAGACTTGTTCATGGTATAACCTTGTCACCCTATCCTTCATTTTACAACCTTTTAAAAAAAAATTTGCACACTCTATAATTTGCTCTTAGTCTTTGTGAGATAATAAAGGCTTCAAAGATAAAATGCTGATTTTTAATGCTGTCATTTCAAAGTTAGAATTCTGGATCAGAAATATGTGTTTCACTTAACCTACCATTCACATGAAATATCTTTATATGGTCTCTTTAGAGACGTTGAAAATCGAAGCCGGACACATGCAGGCATGTGCATAGATGCTGAGAATTTAGTCATTCTCTCCATGACTAAAATATCTCTCTGTCTGCTATGCCTACAAAACCCTTCTAGCTACTTATACTCTGTATCACTGGTACAACCTTGATTTGAAGACATACTAAGATACCACCCACATGTCATTACAGGATGTTATAGACTTAAAAGTTTTCTCATATAATCATTCTAATTCAGTTAATTTTCTTTTAAAATACACATGGCATGTAGATTTTTGGATAAATACACATATACCTATATCACCTTATATACACATACACCTATGTATGTGTGGGTGATGTTGAAGAAACATGTCAATATTATTCCCTTTAGGATTGAAGGAGCCTATGGTAGATGATAAATCTCCCAAAGGTAAAAATTTATCTCAGATTATTCCAATACTCAGTTAAACCTTCTAATCTTTCTCCAAATACATATCACCAATCTTATGATTAGGCATTTTGTTAGGCTGGAGACAAAACAATACCTGTACTGTGTATCAAGCTCTACTTATGGTTTTATCAGGTCTCTCAAATATTACATTTATTTGAAATATCAGAAGAAATTGAACTATTTCTGCTATTTGATATTAGCAAGGGGAAAGAGAAGTTGGGTTTTTGTAAAATAAGTGAAATAGAGAGAGGATGCTATCTACTTATTTCCCAGATAACTCTTCAGCAATATTATCATATTGCCCAGGAAAGTAATATTTACAGATAACTTAGCAATTTAATAATTTTTTCCAAATAAAATTCATTTATTTATTCATTTATTCAACTATTTATTGAACACCAACTGAATGTCTTACATTGTGGTGAGTACCAGAAAACAAAACTAATTAAGCCTCTACCCTCAAGTACTAAAGAATACTAAGAAGGAAACAATTATAGTACAATGTGTGAAATACTTCAATAGAAATTTATACACATGTTGTGGCCACAAAGAAGAAAAAGGAATAGCTTCTAGGAGACAGTGAATCCCAAGGGATAAGATAGAACAAAATCCTTTTGAGCTCTGCATTTTTTTTTTTTTTTTTTTTTGGTGTCTTAGTCTAAGAGAAGAAAAAAAAACCAAGGTTTTAACATCTTCCTTATCTATGTGATTTTATCATTTTTATAGGCAAACAACAACAAACAGTGGTTACAAATTGATCTACTCAAAATCAAGAAGATAACTGCGATTATAACACAGGGCTGCAAGTCGCTGTCCTCTGAAATGTATGTAAAGAGCTATAGCATCCACTACAGTGACCAGGGAGTGGAATGGAAACCTTACAGGCTGAAATCCTCCATGGTCGACAAGGTAGAGTGGCATCTGGGTAAAGAAAAAGCAATCTGAAGACTGTGCTCTGATGAGAATAACAGTATTTTGCATTTGACAAATATGCACTGATATGTACCACCTCTTTAAGTCTTCTGAATCTTAGTTCCTCATGTGTCTGGTCTCAGGACAGAGACCACACACATGACCTTTCTGCTTTGACAGAGCCACCTATGAAACAGTGATGACAAAGCACCAGAAAATATCGTAAGCTTTAGCTAGTTCTAATTGAGAAAGATACTGAAGGGATCCAGAAAACCTTTCACTGTGAAATAACAACATGTTAGCATTACCTTAGATGTACTTGATTCATGACTGATCAAAATGCCCAATGCCATAAACCTTTCTGTGTTACATTGGTATTAAACAGAAAATAATTGATATCCTTACTGATGATGAGATTGTTATTAAACAGAAAATAATTGATGCCCTTCCTGATGACGAGACTAGAATTCCTGCAAAACAAACTACATTTCTGCATTCCTCTACCTCCTAGTTATGTGGTTTAAAAACTACTAGAGGCGAAACTAAGGAGATGGGTGTAATATTCCAGGAATGGAAATTGTGTTCAAGCCAGTAGAGAGCACAGGAGAAAGGAACTGGTATTTAATGAATTTTCATCAAATGCTCAGCACTTATCTCAGTTAATGAATTTGAACCTGTCTTTCTCCCTTTTAAACTCCTGGTTGTCTATTTTGGTTTGTTTATTTCTCACTGCATACACCAGGTTACCCTCATAGGAGGATAAACATCATTGTCATAAACAAATAGTGATTTCATTTCTGCTGTGTATAAACCTTGGGGAACTTGATGATTGGTGGTGGGCAGGGTAGTCACACAGTTTAGCTGAGGATCTAAGGTACATGCCAACAAGGATAAATAAATTTAAATGCATGGTCACATTTTATTTTAAATGTTAGCAATAATTAACTATTTATTGGTGGCCACTTCCTGACACTATGCATTTATGTTTACATTCATTTTAAAATTTTTACAATGACTTTCATGAGGTAAAATTTTATTAACCTTATTTTGCCTATGAGAAAATGAAAAATCAGAGAATAAGTAACTTGTTCAGTCACACAGCTAATATAAAGGGGCTGAGGGCAGAGCTGGTTTTGCAGCTGCTCCACAGCACCATGTGTGACTTGTTTATTTTTCCCCAATTTAACTCAGATCACTGGTGAGATGAAATCCCTAACAGAGTCTATCTGGCATGTGATTTTGTAACTGGTAGAGGATCATCTTTGTGATAGTGCTCTATGTGTTCTTTGACATACTCATTTTGAGCTAATAGGATAAAACAATTACTTGAGTTGGGCGTGATGGCTCATGCCTGCAATGTCAGCACTTTGGAAGGCTGAGGCAAGAGGATTACTTGAGCCTAGGGGTTCAAGCCTGCAGTGAGCCATGATTGTGCCACTGCACTTAAGCCTGGGCAAGAGAATAAGACCCTGTCTAAAAAAACAAACAAAAAAACTTATTCAATAGGGATAGCACCAAATACCTTATTAAATAAAAATTTTAAAAACTTATCTGTAAGATTTTTATATATCCATTTATACTGTCATTAAAGATTTTCTCATATTTTGCTTTCAGATTTTTGACGGAAATACTAATACCAAAGGACATGTGAAGAACTTTTTCAACCCCCCAATCATTTCCAGGTTTATCCGTGTCATTCCTAAAACATGGAATCAAAGTATTGCACTTCGTCTGGAACTCTTTGGCTGTGATATTTACTAGACTTGAATGTTCAAAAACCCAGGAAGAGACTCTTTAAGACCTCAAACCATTTAGAATGGGCAATGTATTCTATGCTGTTTTAAATGTTAACAATTTTCCATTATTTTTTCTTTTTTTCTATTAGTGAATAAAATTTTATACAAGAAGCTTTTATAATGTAACTCCTTGCTACCAGTAAGTAAGATAATGGCTATTACTCCTGTATTAATTTGAATACAGATAGGAAAATATTGAGAACGAACAAGAAAATGGCTTATCTTTCACAATGATTAAAAATGCTGTGAAATAATATTTATGTGGTTAAGATACTTCATTATAACTCTTTTAAATCCTATATACACTAATAAAGCAGATATTACTTTATATAAGAATTGATAGACCTAGATAACTTTCATTTCTACATTTTTCTTTAGAATAACTATGATTTAAGAGCAAAGAAAACAAAGACATGATTTTTAAATGGTTTTTCTTGACAGTGAAGAGAAAAACAATGTTATCAAATGAAATAAGTACTTAAAATATCTTGTCTTTCCTATATAACAATGATTTTTCTGACTTTCTATGAATAAAGAAACAGCCAAGCATGTTTCCAGTAGCCCCATTGAACTTGTGGATCTGTCCTGGTCTCCTTGTGGACTGCACACATTGATGTTCAAGGTTGGTGGTCATTAGACATGGAATAGAACTAAAATAAAATAACCATGGTAGAACTCAATATATAATGCTGGTTTTATTCTAGCTGGTACTACATGACACACAGTTTCAAAACATAAGTTCACCTAAGGGAAAGCTCAGAGCTGTGAAAAAGAGCATTGGAACTGTTGGTCTGTATGCAGCTGTTTCTGCTCCAATAGACTGCTGGCCAAACTGGCAAGCAGTTAAAGTTTTCTTTTAGGGCCCTCCTCTCTATGGCCTCAACTTCCTCCTCTCTCTTCTTCCATCAACTTCCCCTTTCATCATTCTTTTCCCTGGAGACTTGGCATTCAATGATCCTGCAGATATTGCACAACTGGGCAACCTTTAGACATCCTTAAAGTCACATGAGATAGACAGTCACTGTTGAGGCTGAAATAAGCCACCCCAAAGCTTAGCATTAAAACAGCAACCAAAAAAAAATTTATGCGAGGTTATGTATATGTTACTTAGCTTGATCTAATCATCTCATTATGTGTACATATACTAAAATGTTATGTATACCATAAATATATACAATTTTGTCTATGAAATTCATAATAGTCTCTCAGACCACAGTGCAATCAAATTAGAACTAACTCAGAATTAAGAAACTCACTCAAAACTGCATAACTACATAGAAACGAAACAACCTGCTCCTGAATGACTACTGGGTAAATAATGAAATTAAGGCAGAAATAAATAAATTCTTTGAAACCAATGAGAACAAAAGGTTAACGTACCAGAATCTCTGGGACACAGGGCTTCACTTTTGCCACATTCTATTTATTGTGAACACAAGTTATAGGCCAGTCAAGAGTCAATGTAGAAGGAAACTACACAGGGAAGACATACCAGGAGGCATAATTCATTGGGAGCATCTTTAGAAACTACCAGAGTTACCTATTGCACATACCTGTGGAGTAAGCCCTATGAATGTATATGAGAGTTTAAAACATCCACAAACATTGGCTTTCTAATATTTGTATTTCCATTATTTCTTTCTTGTCATGATTCATGTCATTGTCCCATCAACATTTCTAAGATTTCCATTCTGTTAAGAGCAAAAGAGTGGGGAGGATCCAAGATGCCCAAATAGGAACAGCTCTGGAGTGCAGTTCCTGGCAAGAACAATGCAGAGGGTGAGTGTCCACTGCATTTCCAAACAAATTTTCACTGCCCACAGAGCAGGAGATTCCTGGGCCTAAAAGCACCACGAGTTTTCAGCACGGTGGTTTCAGCCGGTGCCACACTGGCACACAGAAACACAAATCTGGATGGCCGTTTCAACTGGTGCCTGGAACACTTGGGAGACAGAGCTGCCCATTCAACTGAAAGAGAGGTGGCAGAGACAGGGGACCAGGCTCTCTGGCTCAGCGGGTACCACCCCCACAAAACAAGCAATCTGAAATGCTCTGGATTGAGAGTTTCACAGCAAGCACAGCAGGACCCAGGACAGTCCAGCTCAGTGGGGGGAAGGGCAGCCACCACTACCAAGGCAGTCTGCCACTACCAAGGCAGTTCACACAGCAGCTGGCCAGAGCCTGCGGCAGCTCAGCAATACCTCTGCTGGCAGACTGTGACTAGACTACTCTGTCTGGGGCAGGGCATCTATGAAAAAAGGCAGTGGCATGACAGGAACTTATAAATAAAGTTGACCAACCTGAGACAGAAAACCTGAAAAAATAGGTGGTTATGAGTTCTGCCGTGGTACACTTAAAAGTACCTACCCAGCAGCTCTGCACAGAATAATGGAGTTTCCAGCACAGCACTTGAGCTCCTATAAGGGACAGACAAGCAGCTCCTGTCCCCCATATACCCAAAGAGACACCTCAGAAAGGAGAGCTCAGGCCAACGTCTGGCAGATACCCTTTGGGGATGAAGATAACAGAAGAAGAAACTGGTAGCAGCCCTTATTGTTCTGTAGCCCCCACAGGTGATTCCCCAAGCAAGCAGGGTCTGGAGTGGACCTCCAGCAGTTCTGCAGCAGAGGGGCCTGTTAGAAGGAAAACTAAGAAACAGAAAGAAATAACTTCATCATCAACAAAAAGGACATCCACTCAGAGACCCCATCCAAAAGTCACCAACTACAAAGACCACAGGTAGATAAAGGCGCTAAGATAGGAAGAAACCAGTGCAAAAAGGATGAAAACACCAAAAACAAGAATGCCTCTCCTCCTCCAAAGGATCACAACTCCTCACAAGCTAGGGATCAAAGATGGATGGAGAATGAATCTGATGAATTGACAGAAACAGGCTTCAGAAGGTGGGTAATAACAAACTTCTCAGAGCTAAAAGAACATGTGCTAACCCAATGCAAAGAAATGAAGAACCTAGAAAAAAGGTTAGATGAGATGCTAACTAGAATAAACAGCTTACAGGAAAATATAAATGACTTGATGAAGCTGAAAAACACAGCATGAGAACTTGGCGAAGCATACACAAGTTTCAATAGCCGAATTGACCAAGCAGAAGAAAGGATATCAGAGACTGAAGATCAAATCAATGCAATAAAATGAGAAGGCAAGAATAGAGAAAAAAGAGTGAAAAGAAATGAACAAACCTCTAAGACATATGAGATTATGTGAAAAGACCTAATCTACATTTGAGAGGTATACCTGAATGTGACGGAGAGAATGAATCCAAGCTGGAAAACACTCTTCAGAATATTATCCTGGAGAACTTCCCCAAACTAGTAAGCCAGGCCACCATTCAAGTTCAGGAAATACAAAGAACACCACAAAGATGTTTGTCAAGTAGAGCAACCCCAAGGCACAAAACTGTCAGATTCACCAGGGTTGAAATGATGGAAAAAATGCTAAGGGCAGCCAGAGAGAAAGATCAGGTTACCCACAAAGGCAAGCCCATCAGACTCACAGCAGATCTCTTGGCAGAAACCCTATAAGCCAGAAGAGAGTGGGGGCCAACATTCAACATCCTTAAAGAAAAGAACTTTCAACCTAGAATTTCATATCCAGCCAAACTAAGCTTCATAAGTGAAGGAGAAAGAAATTCCTTTATGGACAAGCAATTGCTGAGAGATTTCATCACCACCAGGCCTGCCTGAAAGAAGTGCTAAATAAGGAAACAAACAACCAGTACCAGCCAATCCAAAAATGTACCAAATGATAAAGACCATCGACACAATGAAAAAAATGCATCAACTAACTGGCAAAACATCCAGCTAGCATCAAAATGGCAGGATCAAATTCACACTTAACAATATTAACCTTAAATGTAAATGGGTTAAATGCCCAAATCAAAAGACACAGTCTGGCAAATTAGATAAAAAGTCAAGACCCATCGCTATGCTGTATTCAGGAAACCCATCTCACGTGCAAGGACATACATAGGCTCAAAACAAAGGGATGGAGGAAGATTTATCAAGCAAATGGAAAGAAAAAAAAAAGCAGGAGTTGCAATCCTACTCTCTGATGAAATGGACTTTAAAGCAACAAAGATCAAAAGAAACAAAGAAAAGCATTACATAATGGTAAAAGGATCAACACATCGAGAAGAGCTAACGATCCTAAATATATACGCACCCAATACAGGAGCACCCAGGTACATAAAGCAAGTTCTTAATGACCTACAAAGAGACTTAGACTCCCACACAGTAATAGTGGGAGACTTTAACATTCCACTGTCAATATTAGACAAATCAGTGAGCCAGAAAATTAAGAATGATATTCAGGACTTGAACTCAGATCTGGACCAAGCAGTCCTAATAGACATTTACAGAACTCTCCACCCCAAATCCACAGAATATGCATTCTTCTCAGCACCGCATTACACCTACTCTAAAATAGACCACATAATTGGAAGTAAATCACTCCTCAGCAAATGCAAAAGAACAGAAATCATAACAAACACTCTCTCAGACCACAGGGCAATCAAATTAGAACTCAGAATTAAGAAAGTAACTCAGAACCGTGCAGCTTCATGGAAACTGAACAACTGGTTCCTGAATGTTGACTAGATAAACAATGAAATGAAAGCAGAAATAAAGATATTATTTGATACCAGTGAGAACGAAGACACAACGTACCAGAATCTCTGGGACACTTTTAAAGCAGTGTCTAGAGGGAAATTTATAGCAATAAATGCCCACATGAGAAGCGAGGTAAGATCTAAAATCGACACCCTATCATCCAAATTGAAAGAGCTAGAGGAGCAAGATCAAAAAATTCAAAAGCTAGCAGAAGACAAGAAATAACTAAGATCAGAGCAGAACTGAAGGAGACAGAGACACAAAAAACCCTTTAAAAAAAAATCAGTAAATCCAGGAGCTGGTTTTTTGAAAAGATCAACAAAATAGACAGGCCGCTAGCCAAATTAATAAAAAAGAAAAGGGGGAAGAATCAAATAGATGCAATAAAAAACAATAATGGGGATAACACCACTGATTCCAGAAATATAAACTACAATCAGAGATTATACAAATAGCTTTATGCACATAAACCAGTAAACCTGGAAGAAATGGATAAATTCCTGGACACTTGCACCCTCCCAAGCCTAAACCAGGAAGAATTTGAAACCTTGAATAGACCAATAACAAAGGCTGAAGTTGAGGCAGCAATTCATAGCCTACCAACCAAAAAAAAATCCAGC